TATTTAGTTATTTAATCAAACACTTACCTAGCTGTTGCTTAGAAGGTGTTTAATAGATGTAGTTATTATCTATAGTTTGCTTTTTAAATAAGGAGATTATCTTGACAATGTAACCAATTCCTTGGGGTCAGAAGATGGCATGATGGTTACATTACTGAATTCCCATGTAGTCAACTGTGGTTCAAGTCCCAGACCCAGTGGCTTGAAACTCACACTGAACACGTGTGCATGCATGCCTAAAATCCCAAGAGGAGAATGGAGGAGAAGAGACTGCAGTGTGGCCATCTCCCCTAAGGGAGTGATTTCTTGCTTTCTGTCTCTCTGTCTCTCCAGCAAGCACACATGTCCTGTAGCAAAAATCTCTCCGAAAAAAAAAAAAAGTGATAATAATGTAACTAGTTCCTTAAAATTTCACTCTCTCTTTCTCCATATTGGCTGTTTCTCTGGAGAACCACACTAACTAATAAATAATATATGAGTAAATAAATATATAAGTAGATAATAAATACTTGTAATAACTAATAGGACAAGAAGCGTTAGCCTTAGGTTGAAAAGGAAGTCACTGGGCTTGTACATCTCCTGTAAAAATGGAAACACTGATGTATATTTCTGGATCAGTTTAAAATTCATCAGGAAGACGCTCAGACTCTACTTAGAAAACCACCAATTTGTGCAAGCTTTACTGCTCATACCTGACCACTAATGGAAGGTTTTAATCCATTTACCTGAAAGCATTTCAGAATTATCCTCCACAGATTTTCATTAAAAAAAAAAAAAGACACATTCCATCATGACCTAGAGCAGTTGTATCCATCTGCATGCAAAGGTGTGGCTCTTTCTACACCATACTCTAGTATGCTCCATTAGTACTTAGGCCCATTCTCAACCTCCAAACTCATTTTAGATAACTCTCTTGTCCTCCAGCTCTGAAAAAACTAAACCTACTCTCCCTGTGCCTTTGGGTATTTCCATTTGGCTATCTTCCTATTGGATCCCTGGACACTCAACAGGCCAATTCAGGAGTTTATTAACTTCCTTTTGAGCCAATCTCTCTGCCCCTTTCTATTGCCCGGTTTGAAACCTAGTTGCTGCCTTGGACTTTTTTTTTTTTTTTCCTCCAAAGGGCACATGTACTCACCAGAGAGAGAGACACTGAAAGAGGGAGAGAGAAAGTATTTCCTAATGGGGCACTGTACACCACAATTGCTTCTCCCATTTCTCCATCCTACCAAAATTTTGGGCATGCACACACACATGCCCTGTGTGTTTTTAAGCTGCCTGGGCCAGTATTCAAACTGTGGTTGGCCACATGGGATCCAGGTCTCTTAGCCACTAGGCCATGGAGCTGGCCCACGGACTAATGCTACAATCCTACTTTCTTTTTTTTTTTTTAAGAATTATTTATTAAATTTTAGTTATTATTATTATTTTTAACTTGAACAGAAAGAGGCAGTGAGATAGAGAGAAAGGGAAAGTGAGAAAGCAAGCTGCTAGGCCTGGTACTCCAATCGTGATCTGCCACGTGGGAGTCCTTAACCACCAAACCACCTGCCAGCCCCTCAGTTCTACTTTTCCAGGAACTTTTTGAAGTCCTCAATCTCCTTTATATCTACCATATCCAATCTGATAGCAAATTTGAGTATTCTTTTAACTGTGAATTAGATTCACAGTTAGCCCACTCATACAACCTCAACTTATCTACACCCATTCCCTAGCTCACTGACAATAGAAGAGAGGGCAGAGGTAAGAAACCTTTTCCCCAAATCTATTTTTACAGCAATATGAATAACGTCAATTTAAAATGATAAAATATTAAGATAAAATTTCTTGAAGTCCAACAAAAGAGAAAGTACAAAGCTAAATGTCAGGCTATCTGGGACATAGTGGCAATGTCATAGATCAACCTTGGATGGCCCAGTTTTCTTGCAAAAGAACTACAGAGGTAAAAAACAATTCTCATTCCTGAGGATTTTGCATGTGGAATGACTGAAGGAAACAGACACCATGTTTTGAGCCCTCCTTAGGTGCTATTTTTACATTTTAAACACTCACAAAAATCTCATTTGATAAATGAAGAAACTAAGTCTCAAAGAAATTAAAGTTTAGTGGTCACACAGCTGGCTAGTGAAGATCCAGCTCTCTGGAAAGCCCAGCGTCCATGGCACCACAGTCCGAGGGAGTCTTTAAGAAGTTCATGGAAAAATGTATATTGTGAAAATACTGATGTAGATTTCAAAATTTTTTGGACCCAAATGGACCCTTTTCTATTTTTTATTTTTTTAAATAATTTGGCCCGAGGATCTATGTACTTACCAGAGAGGGAAAGAAAGAGAGGAAGAGAGCACTCTTCAATGGGGCATGGTCATGCCACAATCACTTCTTCTCCATTTCTCCCTCCATCTTGTTGGGATTCTGGGATCGGCCTGTTTTTTTAAGCCACAGGGGCCAAAATTTGAATCACATGGCCAGCCACATGGAATCTGGGTCCCTTAACCACTAGACCACAGAGCTGGCCTACGTATTCATGCTTTAATTTCACTTTCCATGGACTTTTTGAAGCCCCCGCACATGAATTATAAAGTGCTATATACATATTCATTCAGGATATTACTGCCATTACTGGAAGTCTAACTTCAATATGGGATAATAAAATAAGGTTTCAGGCCAGCAAGTGGCATAGAGGTTCAAGTGCTGGATCTCAGATGGCCAGCTTTGCCATTGAGTCCTGGACCCAGTAGCTTGAGGATCGTGCTGGTGTATGTGTATGCATGCCCCAAATACAGAGAGAATAGTGGAGGAGAACAAACTGTGGCATGGCCACCCCCCTGGCGGATGATTTCTCATCTTCTCTCTCTCTTTTTCTGTCTCTCTCTCTGGCAAGCACATGTGCCCTGTAGCAAAAACAAAAAGAAACAAACAAACAAAAGTTTCATTTGCATTTTTTCATTTCCAAACCAAGGTTAGTGGGAAAAAAATTCATTTAGAATGTACAAGTGGTATTAAAAATGCTCACAATCTCTAGTGTAGAAGGGCCTCTGGTTAACATTTATAAAGTGGAAGGGACCCAAGTAAGTTGGCCAAAAGGAGGAATATGGAAATTCTGCCCACAGCCAGAACAATGGACATAGATTTGTCAAAACAAAGAACAGTAAAGTGAGGAAAGACAATTTGTTTAGCCTTGTTATGCTATTTTATGACTATTTTTCCAGTTGCTGGTTTCCTATTCACGTTAACAAAGAAAAAGATTAAACAAAAATTTAACAATTTGCAAATTTATGGTATCCTTTAACAGACACAAAACACTGTAAACAGCAAGTTAGACTAAAATCCAAACCAGGAAAATTACCTTCAGTCAGATAATTACAATAAGAAACTGCCCATTCTAGTTCTACAAAAGGAATCTTCAAAGCTCAATGTCCAGTGTTCATCCTTGGTGCAAATGTAAAGTTTTAATGCTAATAAATAATAAATTTAAATATTATAGTTATTTTTCATGTTTTATTGCCCTGAACTGATCAATCTATTTTACGCATAATGCCACAGCATTTTGGCTTCTACATAGGCCTTTGGATAGCATGTCAATGAGCTACATCTGGCGAGCTGGGAAACCACATCAGTAACCAGAACGGAGGTAAATTGAAGCCTCGAGTTTGAAGTACAAAGCAGAAACAACAGAACTTGAAAATACAAACACAAAATAATGTGTAGGCTACTCTATTTAAACATTGCGTGGGCTGCCCATTTTTCTCTCTGCTTCAGTCCTGGGCAGTGGTGGAAACTGCTCCTCAGGTTCTGGCCATGGGTGTGGAGGACCACCGAAGTACTTGTAAAAACATTTTGTGCACTTGCATTTATAAATGTATAATACAGTACTAAGCCAAAAGCCGCACAAGCTACTGTGAAGTCCTCTGCTTCCTCATGCAATAGTCGGCCATCCAGAGGAACACTAAGTGGCATCCACTCCTCATCCATGCCCCGGTGAACACACGCATAATACACAACCCCATCATACACTCACACGCATGTATCCGCGGGGAAAATAAACATCTCCTAAGTGAACACAGGACACAAATTTGCAGATCCAACCTCCAGTGCCAGTTACTTAAGCAAACATAAAGCAGTGCCAATTTTATAGAGAGACTTTGTTTTAAACTCTTCTTTAACTACTAGGGCTGTGTACTAACGGAGAGTTTTTCAGTTCAGTAGTACGCGAGTTTGAAGTTATTTTAATCTATGCTGGAGAGGCGTTGCGTAAAGCAGGTAGTCTGCAACCTCCTGTGACGCCGGCTGAATTTTAAACGACCACATTCACCGACTTGGTGCTAACGTTCAAGCTCCAGGCCCCACCCTAACAGGTCGTTTAACGACTACAGAGTCACTGAGACGCTTGTTGGACTTGAAGATCTTTCAGGGATCTGGGTGTCTGCGTTGGGAAAGGGACGCAGGGGTGAGGTGGAAGGCCAGTTTGCAAAGATCCTTGTTTGCTCAGACACGAGCCTCTGTGGGCGTTCTGGAACACGTGCGCAATGCTAGCAAAACAAAACCGACCCGGATTCCCGGGGGAGCGGGAAGCACAACACGCTCAACCGACTCAGGAGGGAGAACTGTGCTTTCTAGGAGCCCACCGCCCTGTAGCCTGGGACTCGTTTCCTTTCGGTGTCAGACGGGTGCAAAGGAGGAGCGTCCTAGCTGACAACACCCGGCCCTCGCCGGGACCCGCGCGGGGATCCCTAACCTTGGAGCTCCGCACCTGGGCTTAGGGAGGAGGCAGCTCTAAGGCGGTTGCAGGGCCCACTTGTTTCTGTTTTCTCCCAAAATCCTGTGTCACCTCCCGACGATACAGTTTCCTCCGGCCCGCACCCGACGGGTCCAGGTGTCTCCCCGCAGCAGTTTCCTAAAACACTGGCTGCTTCTACAAACCACCCGCCACCTCCATTCCTTTGCCTCCTACAACCCTCCCCAGGGGGTGGGCGAGCAAACCCAGCTTCCCTGGCACTTACACGTGGCCACAGCGGGTCCGAACGGGCTGGTGCAAAACCTCAAGGCACACGGAGCAGTCGAAGGATGTGACGGGCAGCTCTGGGTCTCCCCTGCGCTCCAAGGCCCGTGGGGTGACAGAGGAGGGCGCGGATTTGCCGCTGTCGCTGCTCAGCACGGAGCCCATGGCTGCGCCTCAAGCCCAGACAGCTGCCAAGAGCTCAGCGCCGGCTGCCGGGTTGTTTTGTTGTCCTGCGGTGGAGGAAGGAAGTCCCGGCCCAGCTGTGAACACCGCCTCCCTGCACTCCCAGCGAGCGCAGCCTCCAGCAGCCTACAACAGTCTCCGCTGCTGCGCCCAACCTCGGCCGAGGCGGGCGGAGCGCGCGGCCGCAGGTCTGAAATTATCTTGTGCAAGCTGCCTTGCTTGGGGCGCCAAGGCGGAGGCGGCCGGCTCAGCGTACGCGCCGCAACGCCTGGAGGTCCAGGGAGGATGGAAACCTGAAACCTCAACTGCAGAGAAGACCAGGACCCGCAGTGAACCTTCCAGGCTATCACACAGAGCCTTCTTCCCCACCGTCCCAAGTTAAATGCAGGCCTGATCATGCTTTGTGGGAATCAGAGAACACCCAATTGTAAGGTGACGGTGTCATCAGTCCTCACTGTTGTTATGTTGTAATCAGAATAAGCTGAAGATGACTCGATGGCCGACAGATCATCGACACACCTTAATGGAGCGAAAGCATGGGGTAGAGGAAAGAACTGGAGATTTGGATTCGAATCCTCACTCTAGGCAAGAGTTCCAGTGCTCAGTTCTGTGACCCCCATTTCCTCTGCTCAAGATTTCCTCTATTGTTTGTACTCTCTGCACCCTGCTCATCCTCCTGTAAACATGACCAAATATGTCGTTCACTAACACATTTAATGAAGACTTAGTGCTCACTGCATGCCAGATTCCGGTCCAGTGATGGAGACATAGTTCTCAACAAGCAAACCAAAGCCCAGTTCTCACAGAATATACTTGTTTAAAAACAAACAAAAAAAGCACTTTTATTTTGGGATTATTATGGATCCACATGCAGTTGTAGGAAATAGTATACCATAATACAAAGTACATAAAAGAATACACGTGATACATAATATACCTCACTCAATTTCCTCCAGATTTTACTTTTAATTAGAAAATATAAGTAGTTAACAAATAAATAAATGAGCAAGATCGTGTCAGGTGATAAGAGACAGGAAGAAGATAAAAGAGGGCTATGGTGGCCCAGTCGCTCTGCGATATGCCGAAGCAGCCGGATTCCAAGTGCTGGCTGTTGGCCTGAGCCCAGGATCCTGTCAGGATGGAGACCTGCAGGAAAAAAGATTGTGCATGACCAGGCCTACTGGGGGGGCAGGGGGGGCTCTCTTTTTCTCTCATGCTTGCACACCTGCCCTCTGGCACTATAAATAAACAAACAAATAAATAAATAAACTGGTTGAGGAGGGAAAGAAGGTCAAAGAAGACTTTTTGGATGAAATGACATCTTAGCAGAGTCATGAATAATCAAAAGGGGTTAGCTATTCAAAGATTTAAGGAAAAAGCTTAGTAAGCACTGGCAACACAGAATGAGGCAGAAACAGAAAACCATGAGACGATGAATGGAGCTGGGGACAGGAGCTAGGAGAATGGGAGAAAGATGATAGAAAGACAATCACTCCTGTCTTTTATTCCTTTTCTTTCTCTGTTTCTTTTTTTAGAGTGTTTTTGGTTTTTGTTATAGGCCATGTGCACCCACCAGAGAGAAAGAAAGTGAGAAATCACCCTCCAGGAGAGATGGCCATGCCGCAATCCCTTCTCCTCCCATTTCCTCTTGGAATTTTGAGCACACACGCACATGGATCTGGAGTGAGTTTTATGCCACCAGGTCAAGGACTCGAACTGCAGTCGACGACTGAACTGTGGAGTTCGGCAACATAACCATGACACCATCTGCTGGCCCCTCACATCCATCTTTAAAAGAAAGGCAAAAATTGCTCCCTCAATTTCATTTGTTCCTCTGCTCTCCTACTCTATATTTTTTTCAGGAGCAAATCTCTAGATCTAACTCTCTGCCTTTTATGTTGTCATCTCTTAATAATCTGATAACTTCTTATTTGATCCAGGCTGAGTTCTGAATGGGCCACTCTCCTCTGTCCATTCAACATTCCACTGCTCCACATCCATTGCTCTTCTGTGTGGCCTTCAAGTGGCTAGTTTCCATAGATTTTTTTTTCCCATTTTTTTTAAATTTCAAGATTTCAAGATTTCAGTTTTAGCTTTAATAAATCAAAATAAAAAAATGTTAAGAGGGACCAGCAGTTGGAGCAATGGCTATGTCGCTGGACTCCCATGTAGTGGACTGCGGTTTGAGTCCCAGACCTGGTGGCTTGGACTCAAGCTGGGCACATGTGGGTGTGTGCCCAAGATCCCAGGAGGAGAATGGAGGAAAAAGGATTGCAGTGTGGCCATACCCCCTGGAGGGTGATTTCTTGCTTTCTGTCTCTCTGTCTCTCTCTTTCTGGCAAGAGCATGCGCCCTATAACAAAAACCTCTAAAAAAAAAATGTTAAGAGTACTTTGTTTAAGACTTAAAGCCAGGAAACAGGTTAGGATTCTGTTCAAATAGTAGGTACAAGAACCTATGAACCTAAGAACTTTGGCAGCTCAAGAGAAGACAAAAATTCTTAAATCTGAAAAACAAAGCATAGAAGAAAATCAGTAATTCTTTAGTCAGAAGTCATAAAATTCTATTTCACTAGTTCAGTCTCATGTAATTAATTTATCTTCTGTTGTGGTCTGATCTTTCCGTTTAAGTTCTGGAAGATAACATTCAACTCTGGATTTGTCCCTCTTATTAAGTTGACCATTTTCTTAGTTGTTTTTGAACTCTTATTTATGTGTGTCTGTATTTAGTTTTCCTGATACAACATCCTCTTCAGAATTTCTTCGACAGCTGGTCTGGTGTTGGTAAATTCTTTCAGGGTTTGTTTATCTGAGAATGTTCTTGTCTTTTCTTCTCATATGAAGGACAATGTTGCCAGGTATAGTGTTCTTGGTTGAAATTGTTGTGTTTTTGTTTGTTTGTTTGTTTGTTTGTTTGTTTTGGGGGGGGTTGTTATAGGGTGCGTGTGCTCTCCAGAAAGACAGAGAGAGACAGAGATACAGAAAACAAGAAATCACCCCCCAGGGAGGATGACCACGCCACAATCCCTTCTCTTCCATTCCCCTCTCGGGATCTTGTGTATCCACACACATACGCCCCATGTGAGTTTAAACCACTGGGTCCAGCACTTGAACCACAGTCAACTACATGAGAGTCCAATGACATAGCCGTTATGCCAAGTGCTGTCCCAATTGAAATTGTTTTTCACTTAACACTTTGAATATATTTTCCCATCCTTTCCTTGCTCACATTGTTTCTGATGAGATGTCTACTGTTAGCCTGATGGGATATATTTTGTAGGTAATTTGACATTTTTCTCTTTCCAATCTTAGTATCTTGTCTTTGTCTATGGTTTTGGCCAAACTGGCTATTTTGTGCGTTGGAGACAATCTTGGGTTGATTCTATCTGGTGTCCATTGTATTTCTTGGGCCTGGATCGTTGGATGCCTCTCTACATTTGGAAAGTTTTCTCCCAGGATTTCATGGAATACATTATCAATGCCCTTATTAGTATCTTCATCACGTGGGATACTAATTATCCAGATGTTTGGATGTTTAATGATATCTAGTATTTCTTGTATATTATCCTCATATTTTTTGGCTCTTTTCTCAGTCTTCATGGTGGATTTTTCTAGTCCAGTGATGGCTACAGTTCACTTAGACTCTCTAGACACTCAGTGCATGGAGGCAGAGCAGCAACATGGTGAAGATAAAAGAAAAAGGGAAAGAAAACAGAGAAAGGGAAAACAAACAAAAAAATTTTAAATTTATTTCTTATTAAAAAAATCAAAAAAAGGAAAACTGTGTGGCATACCACGTGAAAGTAGTAGTTCCCAGCTCCAATGGTGGGGTCTTCTCTGAGAACTGCACTTTTGCCTCTCTTAGATGGGAGGAGGAAAGGTGAGAATTAGCAAGAGAAAGGAGGATCTGAGCACCAATATAATAGTATACCTTTAAAAAAATTTTAAAAATGAAGAGACAGAGAGAAGGATACAGGGGGGAACTACCACTCAAGAATGGGGTCTGAAGGATGAAGTCTTAGCAGAAAATCTTTATTAACTTAGTCCCTGAAAGCAATAGTTCCCAGCTCCAATGTAGAGTCTTCTCTGAGGCCTGCACTTTTGCCTCTCCACTCATGAATGGGGTCTGGAAGGTGAAGTTTCAGCAGAAAATCTGTATTAGTTTAGTCCCTGAAAGCAATAATTCTCAGCTCCAATGGCCCCTATTTCTTTTTCTTACTTGACTTCTCAGCTGCATTTGTCACTGCTGATCACACCTTTCTTCTTTTCATTTTTAAAGAATTATTTATTTTATTTTATTTCTGATTATTATTCTTCCATTTCACCAGAGAGAGGGAGAGCAAAAGAGCAAGCTGCCAAGTCTTGGACCCAAACCATGGTTGGCCATGTGGGTATCAACACCTTAACCCACGCCACCTGCCAGCTTCAACCACTCCTTCCTTCTAGAGCCACTCTTTTTTTAGAGATATTTGCTATAGGGTGTGTGTGTGTCCGCCAGAGAGACAGGAAGACAGAAAGTGAGAAATCATCCCCCATGGGGAATGGCCATGCCTCAGTTCCTTCTCCTCCATTCTCTTCTTAGGATTTTGGGCATGCACACACTCACCTGATGTGGACTGAAATGAAAGAAAACCAGAGCATTCTTTATGGAGGGGACTGGGAACACAGACAAGGAGGGAAGAAACTGGGAACTGTTCAGAAAATCTACCCACAGTTCCTTCTTGCTGGAATTTTATTTAAATTTGCTACAAGGTATGTATGTGCCCACCAGAGAGAGACAAACGAGAAAGTACCCCACAGGGAAAATGACCACGCCACAATGCTTCTTCTCGTCTCCTCTTCAGATTTTGGGTACCCATGCACACATGCCTAGCATCTTTTCACACCACCTGGCTGGCCCTCTCGCTGGAGTTTTAAGCACACAGTTGGGCAGTGTGGAGAGAACAAAGCTGTATCTAACAGCTATCTAACAGCTTTTCAACTTTCTTCTGTGGCTTTGTGGAGTCAATGAAGAATTTAAGTAGAAGAGTGACAGGACCATACCTGCAGTTTTGACATATCTCTATTTGTGTCAGAGTTCTCAAATTTAATCTTGCATCATAATCACCTAAAGAGCTTATTTAAATCACCCCATTCTGGA